GCTTACTATGGGGGGGGGGGGGGGGGGGGGGGGGGGGGGGGGGGGGGGGGGGGGGGGGGGGGGGGGCGGGGGGGGGGGGGGGGGGGGGGGGGGGGGGGGGGGGGGGGGGGGGGGGGGGGGCGGGGGGGGGCGGGGGGGGGGGGGGGGGGGGGGGGGGGGGGGCGGGGGGGGGGGGGGGCGGGGGGGGGGGGGGGGGGGGGGGGGGGGGGGGGGGGGGGGGGGGGGGGGGGGGGGCGGGGGGGGGGGGGGGGGGGGGGGGGGGGGGGCGGGGGGGGGGGGGGGGGGGGGGGGGGGGGGGGGCGGGGGGGGGGGGGGGGGGGGGGGCGGGGGGGGGGGGGGGGGGGGGGGGGGGGGGGGCGGGGGGGGGGGGGGGGGGGGGGCGGGGGGGGGGGGGGGGGGCGGGGGGGGGGGGGGGGGGGCGGGGGGGGGGGGGGGGGGGGGGGGGGGGGGGGGGGGGCGGGGGGGGGGGGGGGGGGGGGGGGGCGGGGGGGGGGCGGGGGGGGGGGGGCGGGGGGGGGGGGGGGGGGGGGCGGCGGGGGGGGGGGGGGGGGGGGGGGGGGGGGCGGGGGGGGGGGGGGGGGGGGGGGGGGGGGGGGGGGGGGGGGGGGGGCGGGGGGGGGGGGGGGGGGGGGGGCGGGGGGGGGGGGGGGGGGGGGGGGGGGGGGGGGGGGGGGGGGGGGGGGGGGCGGGGGGGGCGGGGGGGGGGGGGGGGGGGGGGGGGGGCGGGGGGGGGGGGGGGGGGGGGGGGGGGGCGGGGGGGGGGGGGGGGGGGGGGGGGGGGGGGGGGGGGGGGGGGGGGGGGGGGGGGCGGGGGGGGGGGGTGGGGGGGGGGGGGGGGGGGGGGGGGGGGGGCGGGGGGGGGGGGGGGGGGGGGGGCGGGGGGGGGCGGGGGGGGGGGGGGGGGGGGGGGGCGGGGGGGGGGGGGGGGGGGGGGGGGGGGGGGGGGGGGGCGGGGCGGGGGGGGGGGGGGGGGCGGGGGGGGGGGGGGGGGGCGGGGGGGGGGGGGGGGGGGGGGGGCGGGGGGGGGGGGGGGGGGGGCGGGGGGGGGGGGGGGGGGCGGGGGGGGGGGGGGGGGGGGGGGGGGGGGGGGGGGGGGGGGGGCGGGGGGGGGGGGGGGGGGGGGGGGGGGGGGGGGGGGGCGGGGGGGGGGGGGGGCGGGGGGGGGGGGGGGGGGGGGGGGGGGGGGGGGGCGGGGGGGGGGGGGGGGGGGGCGGGGGGGGGGGGGGGGGGGGGCGGGGGGGGGGGGGGCGGGGGGGGGGGGGGGGGGGGGGGGGGCGGGGGGGGGGGGGGGGGGGGGGCGGGGGGGGGGGGCGGGGGGGGGGGGGGGGGCGGGGGGGGGGGGGCGGGGGGGGGGGGGGGGGGGGGGGGGGGCGGGGGGGGGGGGGGGGGCGGGGGGGGGGGGGGCGGGGGGGGGGGGGGGGGCGGGGGGGGGGGGGGGGGGGGGGGGGGGGGGGGGGCGGGGGGGGGGGGGGGGCGGGGGGGGGGGGGGGGGGGGGGGGGGGGGGGGGGGGGCGGGGGGGGGGGGGGGGGCGGGGGGGGGGGGGGGCGGGGGGGGGGGGGGGGGGGGGGGGGGGGGGGGGGGGGGGGGGGGGGGGGGCGGGGGGGGGGGGGGGGGGGGGGGGGGGGGGGGGGGGGGGGGGGGGGGGGGGGGCGGGGGGGGGGGGGGGGGGGGGGGGGGGGGGGGGGGGGGCGGGGGGGGGGGGGGGGGGGGGGGGGGGGGGGGGGGCGGGGGGGGGGGGGGGGCGGGGGGGGGGGGGGCGGGGGGGGGGGGGCGGGGGGGGGGGGGGGGGCGGGGGGGGGGGGGGGGGGGGGGGGGGGGGCGGGGGGGGGGGGGGGGGGGCGGGGGGGGGGGGGGGCGGGGGGGGGGGGGGGGGGGGGGGGGGGCGGGGGGGGGGGGGGGGGGCGGGGGGGGGGGGGGGGGGGGGGCGGGGGGGGGCGGGGGGGGGGGGGGGGGGGGGGGGGGGGGGCGGGGGGGGGGGGGGGGGGGGGGGGGGGGGGGGGGGGCGGGGGGGGGGGGGGGGGGGGGGGGGGGGGGGGGGAGGGGGGGGGGGAGAGGCGGGATGGGCGGGGAAGGGCCAACCCGTGCATTAAAATCCCCAGCAAGGATAACGACATCCGACTTTTTAGCATTAGTCAAGAGCTGTTGTAGATCTCGGTAGAAATCGTCCTTGACCGAGTCGCTACTGCAGTCAGTTGGAGCGTATACAGAGATCACAAACAAGTTGCGTCTCTCTTCGCGTTGCCTGTTGATTCTACATGAACCCCGAAGCCGAACTGCACATAGTCGGCTGTTAATCGGGAACCAGTCCAGTAGTGCCGCCTCGGCCTTGCCACTCAGTGCTATACCTACACCAGCCAGACCCGCTGAGGCTGCTTCTGGATCTCCAGAAAGACGCAGGTGATATCTGGCTTCGTGGTCAGTGGGGGATGTCAATGTAAGCACAGTGCTGGGATCTTGCAATCGAGTTTCTGAAAGGCAGCAGACATCAATGTCTAGTGAATCTAGGGTGCGCGCTAGACCGGCTTGCTGTCCAATCTGCATGAGTGTCCGGACGTTGAAGCACGCCAGACGGAGCGAGGATCGGGGACGAAGGAGAGCCATAGGTTGAATTCCTTGATCTGCGGAGCAAACGGTACACATGGATGCCGAGACCCATCAGTTTGATCTGGAGAACGTTGAAATACTTGGAAGAGCAAGAAACCGGAGAGCGCGTGAGTTCCTCGAGGCCTGGCGTTCTGGCCGGAACTCAATCAACAAACACCTGGAGCTGGAGGGTGTCTATGAAGCTCTGCAGGTTAAGCCAGCGTTAGGCACCAGATCGACAAGGAGAAGAGGTGCCCACATGACGGACACGTGAACCGATCGAACGCTGACATTCGAAGCAGGCAACAATCAATAGACATTCAGATCTGGCATTGGTTTGCGAGACTGCGCGAATCAGCATCAAATAGCTGCACTGAAGATGTTACCTAGTTTGGTAACGAAACGTCTGCAACAGAAATGCCCAGCTCGGAGAACAGGACAATCTTTTCACACTCATTACTCATGTATGGATCCCGCCAGATGTGAGCCACACTGTGAAGCCACCGATGGTCGAACGTAACTAGTCTCTACCTCTGCTGATCTAATGGGTCAGGCTTCAAAACGGTACAGCAGGGTCGAAGGTATGGCTGCAATGTACACCCTACCGTTCAAGAATAGATTGATGTCGCGCCGGCGCCGTAGGTGACGAAGGTTGAAAAAAGCGCCTCAATACAAATAGGATCAGGAAGTCACCTTTACTCAAACAGACCATCCTGATTCTCCATCGCACTCGCTACTCTTCGGTCGCATGTGGATCCATTTCGTTTCACAAGGGGCTATACAGTCGAGAAGACAGAACCCAAAAGTTGCTACTATTGTATTCTCCGGTAGCAGTAAGCAACAGAAAGAGTGAAAAAGTACACGCACTGAGGTTTCCTGCCTTTTTGATATGCACGCGGAGCCCAGAGGCGAGACAATCGAAAGTAGGGATCGCGACTAGAAGGTGACATCTCAGACGAATTCACCTATCTCCCTATGCATTTCTGTCTGGTCAAAACATAGTGTACAGTCGACTGAACAGTAGGTAAGTGACTCTGTCGGTTAAAATGAGGAGAAACGGCGTCTGTGAATAACACCACCGTTAAATTCACCTTTGCAACTTTGGATCTCTGGACTGGTTCAAGATCATTCCTGCCTCTATGTTTATTCGCAATATTAGTTGGTTCACTTATGGGACACTGGTAGAATACGCGCAATAAAAGCCAAGAACTGACAGGTTCCTTGCGATGGTTTATGTGAATTACATATGTTCGAAAAAATGATAGCAAATAATCCGCGCATCTGTGAACCGCCTATAATATCCATGTTAACACGTAAAATCCCTATTTCATGGGAGCTGATAAGCACAATGTTTGTTTAGTTCTTGTCGGCACTCGATGAGCGAGATTCATGTCGCATGATGTAAACGATGTAATGCATGCCGAGTGATATTTAAAAATGGGTAGCGTGGGCGCAATGAAAAAGTAGAAACTGCGCTTCACGGTCAACAGATTCTGAGAGAAAAATAATTCTGGCAGTATTTCAGTCAGCTGTATTCAGTGGCCGGTTTTAACTGGTGGCCGCTCAGTGTTGTGTAGCGGTCAAGTTTCAGAAGGCAGCGGCAAGCGTGGCCGGGGTGTTTCATCATCTGATACTTCAGAATAAGGTCACTCTGTTGAAAACTCCCAAGGATTTCAGACATGATCCATATGGCAGGTAGAACAAACCACTAATGGTTTTGATTGCCGTTCTCTGTGGGGTCTCCAAAGCAATTAGGTCGCGTTTCAGCTAAGATTGCAGAACTACCGGTTACAAGGGCAAGTGTATGTGTCATTGAGATCCAACACTGACTGTGATACGATAGCACTCCATTAATCACGCACTGGTTTGAGCAGGTGGTATAGACTATCAACAATCGCAGGAGTACAGTACGAATAATAATAATAATAATAACACAAGAATTATCTCACTGGCCACCTCAAGTCAAAATAAGCTTTATAAACTTTAATGGGTTCATCTTTAGCGTTTACACCACTGCGGATACCTGGATAATAATATGGAAAAAATACGATAATATTCTGGGCTGATCACCTTGGACAGTTTGTCCGTCTTTTTACATGCGTAACATACGTGTAGAAAGTCGTAGTGAACTGAGCACGCTTTGGATGCACTATGGGACTTCATTTGGAGGAATGAGGGTTATGTAAACGATATCCAGGTTAACATGGTTGTGCGACACGTACAGTATATTGAGTTCTTCGGTAACCGCAAATTTTGGAGTGTTGGAGATGGCTGGCGTGGTACTGCCTTGTTCAGGATTAAATGGAGCTCTAGAGGGTTTTGTGAGTAGGTACCCAATTGGTCGACGCATTACGGGCGCAAACGTACCCGGAGCATCTACTTAGCTTGTGTATGTATTCAATGCGCTACCGACGGCTTCGAGGAGACCTAATCCTTACTTACCGCATTTTAACAGGAAGGTTGGACCGGACGAGCTGGCTAGTTAGTCCGGCTAGGTTACTTTGTCTTCGCGGTCATCCCTTGAAGCTACATAAGCCGCGTTCCGGCCGGATAAGGGCGGAAACTCGGTTACCTCGTAGTTATCGGGCGCTGGAACTCGCTCCCAAAAAATGTAGTCAGTGGACCTACGGCTAAGGGTTTCGAGCTTCAGTTAGACGCTCTTGGGTGGCAACACAAAACCTTTCCCTTCTCCTGACCATAACCATCTGACTTCATATTCTGTCATTCTTTTCACTCTTCGGTGTTATCCTTCATTTAAATGACTTCCACTTTATCTTCCGTTTTCTTTCTACATCTTTCTTACTTCAATTGACCTACACAGCGGGGACCGCTAGTGTAGGGAACGTGGGCACTAATTAGTGACCAGGGTGTGGTCCGGGTGTTTCGTTTTAGATTCATCAAGAACTCGTAGTACCTTTTCCTTTTCTGGCTCAACGATCAGCTCAAGAAGGAATACTCAAAGGATTTGCCTGTCGTTCCAGTCCCATCTGAATCTGAATCCTAAAATATATCATGAAACGCTTGTACTTGATAACCCTGGGATGAGTCCATAGGTTATCCATACGTACCATACGGCTCCTGAGATTTCCGGAGTAACAAATCGGGCAAATGGATTTGGTGGCACCAATTTAACCATTCATTTGTTATGTGCACCAAATGCTGACTACTCACGAGTAGCTCAACGACGAGCTAACGTAACGCGAAATATTGGAAATCGTGAGCCACAATTTGACACCTATTGACGAGTATAATGCTGCGGTAGGACCGGTGTTGCTGTATGCATCAGAGACCTGGCCAGTTCGCAACGAAGACACTAAACACTTGGACCTGTTTGACCACCGGTGCTTGCGGAGTATTGCTCACGTTTGGTGGGAACACCGGGTGAGTACTACTGAGATCCGCCAGTTTGTTTTTGGCACAAAGTGTTCTGGTGCCTCACTTGAGTGTTTGCTGAATTTTAATCGCTCACGTTGGCTAGGCCATGTCCTCAGTATGTCCGTTGGCCGGTTTCCTCGGCGTGCATTATACGCCGTGGCTGCACCAAGTTGGGTGAAACCGCGAGGTGGCCAGTCCATGACGTGGCATTGTTAAATGAAGAAATCGCCTGAGACTTGGTCAGGCTGGTGAGTGTAGCCTTTGGGGATTGGGGCCCCAAGATGGTTCACACTAATGGTTGGAGACATGGCGCAGTCCTGAAGTCGGTGGCGTTCCTGCATTTGGTTTATTGCATCTGGTTGTGAATTTTCGTTCCATGCTAAGTAGTTTACCGCACTTCCTTCCTGCTTGCATGTTCTCTACATTCTATGTGCATGCAACCCCAATAGCTAGCCGTTGTTGTTTAGTATGATTCTTGCGATACTAGTTGTGGCAACTGGATCCATCGGACTTCGGTGCTCGCACCATAGTTGATCAACTGAAGTGAACTGCATTGATAAATGATTTCACCAAGTTAATAGTGCCAAGTGGTGGACTAAACCATCTTTAATGCAGTGGTGAGTTTCCGAGCCGCTCTCCTCCAACATCACACTCTATGACCAACCAGATTCGTTTCGATTTGGACTCGTCCGGTACAAGTAGCCTGAGTTGAGAAGGGACTCCGTAATAGTGAGTGACGATTTTCGTCAAATCGCTGCTCGTGAAACTCTGGCTTAGTGATTAAGACCGTTCCCCTCCTACCTCAATCTATCTTTACCTGACGTGACAAAATTAGGACGAAACTGGTCGGTCGTAGAATGCAATGTTGGCGGTTCCTAAACTGTCCACTTTGGATGTTATCTCATCAAACGAAATGGCGGAGATTCGCTTCAAAGCAAAGTGAGGACTCAAATGCGATGGCGTGTCACAATCCATACACACGATGGGTACTCCAAGACCAAACAATGAATCATAATTTGGACGTCGGCCCGTAGGCTAGATGTAACGAGATTGTCTCATAATCATGCGACACGGGTTCCAGCCTGCGTAGGGGCGTGGCGACCGCAGTATCTTTAGCCCACGTACGACCGGTGATGGTTGCGCGGCAGCGAGGCGTACTGATGATGCTTTACC